ATACCTTATTAGTGAAAAACTGGACAATGCTAAATTTGATCCTAGGATTCTCCTTATTTTTGACAAACATACAAAATACTGCTTAAATACATTTCTATATTTAAAAGTGGACAATTTTTCCCCCTTGCACTTTGTGGGAGTCAGAGCCTACTTCTAATATGAAAATGTTAAGGTTTTAGAGACATTTTTAGAAACATGAACTGTGTGGATTGTATTTTTCTCCCTTTTAAAATTATCTGAGGGAAAGTCTACCTCAACTTTAAACCCCAGAAGTAATCAATTTAAAATATTTTAAATGTTTAAAATTGTTTAAAACCAATGTTTTTAACATTTTCTTCTTGCTGGAGATATGTAAAGAAGAGAAAGACATACAGGACCAGTTCCTCAACTAATATAAAAGTAATTAAGTATATTATTAGAAGTATAATTCTACCGACTTAACCAAAACTGAAAATCTGGACCATTATGTGCATTTTAAGTTGTTGTCTAAGGGCCTAACACAATGGCAAAATCCTGGAAAAGAGATAAAAGTTACAGCAAATAGATGCAGAAAAAAGTTATATCTAGACTTCCTTTCCAAATATAGGCAGTCGCTATAGAAACAGATTTTCCATTGCCCTTAACAGGTTTTTTTTCAAATTAAAATCTGCAGAACTGGATCCAATTCCATGTGATATGAAGAAATATTAACTTCAACTAGTAACTTTACATTTAAAGTACTTGCAATGTTTTCTATGAAGCCTTAATAATATTTCTATTAAACAGTTTCATTCAAACTAAATTTAGTGGGAAGGTATAGTGGAGGAAGATGCTGGTATTCCATATATTCCTGACAAAAATGCAAACTCCCATTGTATATTTTACACAGAAATGAAAAAGGGCATTATGTCAAACATGTACTGGGGCTTTAGAACTGAGTACATAATGGGAAAAATGGGTGATATCTTGAGCCTACAGAAAGGATCACAATTCCTTCTGAATGCAGATTCATGCCTGTGTATTTTACTAATCTGAACAGTAAGACAGTAGACAAATCCACATCCAATGACCAGAGCCTATGAGAAGAATTTGAAAGTTTGGTACATTCTGGTAGGGGGACTACCCAGCTTCCTTTTGGAAACAGGAAAAAAAAAATTGAGAGCAATTTGATTTTGGGGGCCTCCCTGAGCTTGGGGGCCTAGTAAAACTGCACCTCCATGCCCCTATCTCAAAGACCCTGCTTATGACCTACAAATACGTGTGGAAAACAATGTATGCTAATCAGAAAAAAAATAAGAAACTTACAAATATTTTGAAAAGTTACTTCAGATTGTGACTGTGTAGTTTACTAGACAGACTCTTTCTAACTTTTTGGCTCCTACCTGGCTCCTATTAATGGATCTATACTTTCTATTTAAATTGGTGATAGTTCTGAGTGTACTACCAGGCCCAAATGGTCTATATCAATAGGGAAACAACATTTTGAAAGCTGCTAAAAGCATTTGCTACTTTAGAACTCTAGAGTAGTGTTCATATGCAAAATACTCATCAAAATTGTTTAGAGGTCTGCATAAAGTTAATAAGAAGATATCTAATAAAGCCCAAATCAATTATGAACAATTCTGAAAGAAATGACAAATTAAAGGGCCCATTTTGTAAACACTTTCACTGTAGTAAATATTACAGTTTTCAGGGCCAACTTCTAACATAAGATCAGAACAGCTGTGCTATTTTAAGTATTCTGAAATTGTTTTGCTGAGTATTTTCTTTTTAATCTTCATATCTGATTACTTTTCTTGAATGTTAGAAATAGCCACATGACCAAAACCTGAAGTTCTCATTCACCCCGAAGTCTTACTAAAATCCATCAGTTTTGCCAGAATAAAGAATGCAATATAAAGTCGAAAGTGATTTAAACAATGAGGTGTCTCTGTCTACTGTCTTTAATATAGCACTAGCAATGACCAAAAATGGAGATCTTAATGCTTAAACTAACTGAAAGCACCTTATGGACAGCTGGTCCAAAAAAGTTCTGCTTTTCCAGAGCTCTTGAGCTTACTGTAATTATTCTGTGAGAACACTGTCTGTGCAGAAGCTGCAGAATACACCCCCATGCCCTTCTGCACAGCAGTCTTCAACCCTGTGTTAGAAAATGAACATCTTTTCCAATTTCCATTACTAATTTGAAAACATTTTGCTCTAACGTCTACTTGTGGGCTATGAGCCATAATGCAGAAAATGGTACATATAGCAAGGAGACCATGCAGAGTCACACCTCTCACAGGCTAGTTTTATAAACAAAATTGTTTATATAATATATGCATTCCAGTAGTTTAGCATATAAGTGGAAAATTAGCTCAGAATTACAAAGTCACTTTTAAAGCTTAAAAATTATTATAGTAGAGCAGTCATAAACCCATAATTAAGGTTGTATTATATATGTGGATCATTAGAGGAAAAGCCCTTGAGAGCCTGGGAGTCAGTCATTTTGACTTAGGGATGAAGTCATTCCCATTTACTATGTGTCTGTGTGCACAGGATGAGGAGGGTTGGAAAGGAAGCAAGAATCAGTCATTACGGAAGAAAAATGTATTTTCATAAGTTTTCCAGATCCCTATTTCCAGCTCCAGGATCATTGGTGGCTGACTTGACG